AAACTAAAAGGAAAAAAAAAAGAAGTACAACTTCACACCTGTTTCCTCAGGATTCGCCTCTCCCTCGAGCTCTGAACGACAGTGGATGTCAGCTGGGCGACACCGACCTGTACGACGCCGGTCTGGACGATGAGGAAGACGAGGAAGAAGAGTCTCTGGACGCCATCCGAGCTGCCGTCAAGCAAAAGATGAAAAAACACAAGGTGAGAAAACGACCAGTTGAGAAAGGCGTCTGTGGTTCAGGTGGAAGAGCAGGTTGTCTTCTAATCGTAAGGTTGGTGGTTCAGTCCCCTCCACAGTCGAAGTGTCCTCGGGCAAGACATTGAACCTGAAGTTGCTCCTGATGGCAGGCAGCAGCTTGCACTCTGTCACTATTGGTGTATGAATGTGATCTGCTCTCAGATGTATGTTGCTTTGGATAAAATCGTCTGCTCAGGCCGCTGCTATAGCTCGCCTGGTTGAGCTGGCGACCCATGTCCCCGATGCAGTGGCCATGAGTTCGAATCCCGCTCATGGCCCTTTTCTGCAAGTCCCCCACTTTCCTGCCTCTCTCTCGACTGTCTTATCCAATACAGGCAACAAGGCCAAAAAAAAAAACATCCGCTAAATGAAATAGTAAAGGGTTGTCTGTGCAACTGTAAACGATAAAATATTCTTTCCTGTTTGTCATCAGCATCAAAACTACCGCCGTATTTGTATGTAAGAGCCTTCAGCAGCCTTTGTTTTTCACGTGCAACGCATTATTTCATGCAGTGTTAATGATCTAAGGGTCGTCTGTGTTCAATGTTGCTGCAGGATCCTCTCCTGGATGACGAGGAGGATGAAGAAGCCCCTGAGAAACCCCAGCGTGTGGTACGTAGAGGCAGAAAGCTCAAAAATGTATTCATACTAAACACTTTATTACTCTCTCACTGTAAATGTGTTTTTTTTTTATATTTATTTTCCAGGAGAGAAAAGCTGCACGAGCCAGCAAAGAGGCAATGAAGCAGCTGCACAGCGAGACTCAGAGGCTGGTCAGAGGTCAGTTCACAGGTTTTATTGATCTATTACTGTTGACTAGAGCTTATCAGTCGTTGCCATTTATTCCCCAAGATTGTAACTTTGGACAAACCCAAAGTTTACAGCATCGTTATTTGTGTGAATCATTAATCTGTAAGCAGTATGTGTTTGTTTTTATTGTTTTATTTTTATGGACACGACTGAATAGATTTAAAATTACATAAGAAAATGAATGAGAATGGTGTGTTTTTGTGTCTTTTGCTCTGTGGGATGTTTTTGGACCAATATTGGTGCTGAAATGTGGAAAAATCCTTTTTATAAATCACTTCACACGACATGAAGAGCTGTCGCTTGTGTCTCTCTGTCGGTGTGACATTGCAGTTCAGACTTGCACTGTGCTGAAAGTGAAACCTCACTGCAGCCGACCTGCCGATGTGCATTGTACGTAAACCTGAGCAGGATGTTGACACAAAGCTGACACGTTCAGTTGGTGTCGGATTAAAAGGAAACCGTGCAGGTTTCGTCTGAAAGGGGCTTCATTTTGAAAAAGACTTGTTTCATTTCCCATCTGCTCCTCTGACATGTTCTTCTGCAGAGTCGATGCTCGGCCTGCCCTACCACATCCCCGAGCCCAAGACCATCGACCAGTTCTTCAAGAGGAGAGCCAGGCCTGAGGGTCCTGCCATGGCGTTGTTGAAGTAAATACAAACATTTCAAGCATGTTTTTACATCATAGACGAGTCAGTTGGGAAGATTTTAGGATGCACGGGTCACCAGAGTTACCAGAATTTTGATAAATTCTGCTTTTACCTGCACAAATGAATCACAATGTCCCTACTTTTAGATCTACAACGTACTCAAAAATGATGTTGGAGGCGCCGTTGGCTCCTCCAGCGCCTGTGAACCCACCAAGTGAGCCCCAGCAACCGTCCACAGAGCAGCAGGACCCTCCTCCCTCCCTGGATCTCTCGTCCACTCAGATCCAGCCTCTACTTCAGCCTGCAGCCACGTCGTCCCCGCATCAGCAGAGCCTCAGCCAGCCCGGAGAAACCCCCGAGAACCCAGATCCTGAGCAGGAATCGGGCCCGATGCTGTACCTGTCTGAGAGTCTGCAGGAGTCGGCCACTACGGACGCTGTTGGGAAACCTGCCTCTGATTCTGGAGAGGAAACGTCGGCTGTCCCGGCAGAACAGAAGGCGGTCGAGTCCGACTCTGAAGCCTTGAAAACGGAGCCTCTGCCTGAGGGTTTGGTCGAACCTGCAGCCCCTCAGTCTCTGAAAGCTGGTTCAGAACCTTCAGTGCAGCAACACAGCAAGCTGAAGAAGGACAAACTGGCCAGACTGAAGGAGCTCGGCCTGGATCCTCCACCTGTCGCCAAGCTGTGTCCGGATGACGGAGCTTTTGTTCAGCTGGAGCTCCAACAGCACAACCCTGGTGAGTCCTTTCAGATTTTAAGAATTGTCACAAGAACAAACTGTATTCCTAAATCAGTGTGAGGAAAAATAACCTATGATACAGACTGAAAGCAACACAAATGCTGCAGTCACATTCAGAAGGAAAAAGCTGCAAAAGACTGAAGATTGCATGAATGTGTACTTAATATTACCATCAGTCACCACCGTCCCATTGTGTAGAAGTTGTGCCTCAATAACCTCAAATCCTGCTTGGTAGTGCAGACCTAAAGAGCAATAGTTTATCTGTATTGACCTCTGTTCTTTCACCAGGCTTGGAGGCCCTGAAGAAGCGTTACCTCCGTCATGTTCACGCACCGACGCGACCCCAAGGAGAGCGAACGGTGCAGCTCAGCATCATCCGCAAAGACAGCACAGCATCCGGCCAGGAGGAGCTGCTCGCCGAGTCCGTTACCGTCACCGTGAAAGAGGGAGCAGAGGAACCAGCAGCCGCCAAGCCAGGTCTGGATGCGCTGCAGACTCTTCCTGAACATGATCTGTTCTGCACAGAGAGTAAATCTTGTGAATTCTGCTGTTTGTGTAGGAGAGAAGCTGGTGACTCTGAAGCAGCGCCTGCAGTCCGCCATGGCCCAGCGGAGGAAACAGGAGAGGGCACGCAAGGCCGAGCTGAACCGCCTCGACAACGAGGACTGCGGGGAGGAGGAAGAGGAGGAGGAAGATATGACAGATGAGTCAGACGAAGAAGAGGTAAGCGTTTGTTGCTCTGGAGCGACCGAGTGACCCCGTGAATATCTGCAGTCACTTCAGGGCTTCTCTTCCGTCTCACAGGGTGTTGATGACTTACTGGGAGGCGATGACGGTGAGGAGGAAGAGAAAGAGGAGGAGGAGGAGGAGGAAGGCAGCGTCGCTCAGAGTATCAGGAGTCCTTCTCCTGTGGCGCTGAGCGAACCGTCGCAAACTCCTGATCTGGTGAACACAGACGGCACGCTCCTGCTGTTTCCAGGGAACTCCTGCTCTCGCACCGGGTGGGTTGGAAGTTTCTTTTTGTGTTTCTTGGTTACTGATCAAGTTTTTTTTACCTCCAGTCTGATCCGAGTCATTTAATGTTTAGTAGCTGCCCATATAGAGTCTCAGTCTGAGACCATTTTCCTAGAAAATATACAGAGATTCAGTTTCAGTTGAAACATGCAGAGATTAGATTGGAGCATCTGTATTTCTAGCATTGCAACTTAAGGTCACTCCAAAAAGTAATTGGACAAAGTGTGGCTGCGTGTTCTCACATACAGAAGCTGATCAAATGTACGAAATAGACGATTGTTGACTCGTCTCATCATATTTGTTTTTTGCTTGTACTGTAGTGTTTACTGTGTTTGCATTTGCTCTTTTCCTTCTCAGTGATGGTGTGAGAAGGTCTGGGCCTCCCGGACACGACAGCAGCAACAAGATGGGTGAGTACAGTCGAACACTTTCACTCAGTTTGGACACATTTCTGTACACTCCAGACAGATTGTTGTGAAGGTAGCGCTGGTTCACGATGAGAGATATTGCTGGTGGTTTTGTTCTCCACATTCCAGTTCAGAATGCTTTACTTTTTGCTTTACCGTTTCTCCCTGTGGTCTCCAGAAGAGGACGACTCTCTGTCCCTGGTGAAGGACAACAGCCACAACAGCAGCTTTGAACTTGCTGCGTCCATGATAACCTCTTACCAACCCGTCAATAACCAGCGATCTGCCGGAAGAGGAATCTCCAACTCCTCCTTTTTCCGTTCCCCTTCGCCCTGCCTCTTCAGGCCCAGCTTCCCCGGCTCTGCTTCTAAGGTGAGTCGGAAGGTTTTAAAGCTCCTACATCATAAAAGTATATTTTTATTGTGTTTTGCAGTTGTTGCAAACTTAGAGGTGTAACCTAGAAGCTGCTGGGATATGATGATGTTTCTTCTGCCACTCCTACAACCAGTTAGCCTCCTCGCTGTACAAGCCAGTAAAAGTCCTACCTAACAAAGCTAACCAATAGCTTTATATAACCTGTGTAGCCCCGCCCCCTCGCTGCTTCCAGGTGACCCAATCAGAAGGAGCAGCTGCCTCATAGTCCACCAGGTTTATTTACTTCTTCCAGCTGCTTCTACTAACTTTAAAATGTCTGAACCTGGAACAAAACTCACCGAATGTTCTGATGTAAGAGTGAACACGAGTCTTCATGCACTGCCAGCATACTCTGATTTAAACCAGTAATCCAGGACTGGGTGAGTTACTGTGTTACTGGACCCACAATAAAGCTGCTCTCATCTACAGATGCTCTGTTGTCGACAGAACAGCGACCGAAACTCGTTCAGACGACACGTTAACCAGCAGTCGCTTCATTTCTGAGCTGCTTCTCTGCAGCTAAAATACAGATTTTTACGACGCCGTCTGACAAACTCAAACACAGGAGTTAAAAACGACAGAGAATTTAGAGATATTTACATATAAAATGGTACCTGAGAGGGAAAACTAGAAGCCATAGAAAGTCTCGGTGTCACATGTTTATGTTGGCTGCCCTTGTGGTCAGCTGTTTTTAATCAGGCGCAAAGAGAGTCTTCTTTAAAGCAGCATTTAAAGCTACAAACACTAAAACCAGGAGTTATAAAAAGAACCATCAGTCACAAAGAAATCAACCACCTTTGTGGTGTTTCGAGCTCAAAGTTTGGTTGAAAGGGGAAAAACATGGGACCTTTATGAGTTGGAATACGATATTATCAATAGGTGTAGTTTTATTGATTTGCTTGGTAAAACAAACAAAGGTTTTGTTGGACACATAACATTTAAACATATAAATACTTTTATACAAAGAAGCCACAGCAAGATGAACCCGGTTACGGTCAATGAACTTGTCCCCCGTTTGTTTATTCTACAGAATTTCTATATTATGATGTTTGCTGTGAAGTGGTTTAAATCTGGTCTTTTGTCCCCTCAGAGTTCAGGTAAACTCTCCGAGCCCTCCCTCTGCCTCCCCGTCGAGGACTCCCAGGACCTTTACGCCCCTCCGTCCCCCAGCGCCGATTCGGGTCCTCTGGGCGGAGCTGGTTCTGGTCCCGGTTTGGGAGGAGACTCTCAGGGCCGGTTCTCCCTGGAGGACGACACCCACTCCCAGCTGCTCGACGCCGACGGTTTCCTGAACGTGGGGCCGCGACCCGGAGCTCCCCGGTCCCACAAGAGGCAGCTGATCCTGGACAGCCTGGACGAGAACGCCATGGACGCCAACATGGGGGAGCTGCTGGGCTTGTGCTCGGGTGTGTTTGGGTCGGCGGAGGCCGGCAAAGGAGGAGGTGTGGGAGCTACGCAGGAGGACGAGCTGCTCGGGTTGTGTTCGGGAGCGTTTCCGCCGACTCAGGCTGAAGAGGACGAAGCAGAGAAGGTGAAAGAAGGACTGGATGAAGAGTCTGACAACACCATGGATCAGCTGCTGGGGCTCTGCTCAGGCAAATTCCCAAGTCCAGGTGAGAATGTGTTTGTGTTTTTAGGATAGAGATACGTACAGGTGGGTAAAAGTAGGAGTTTAGATCATAAAATAATTGTCGAATATCCTTAGGAGGTCTGACTAAAGCTTAGGTAATTGTTTTGGGTCAAAATGTGGATTTTAGGGAGCATGGAGGAACACAAAGGGCGAAGAAATCAGTGTTATGACTTTAAATAAAGGCGCCTGAGGCTTTAAAAGTGTTAGAATTTTAGATTAACTTGTTTTGACAAAGAAGNCTGATCATTTGAATCAGGTGTGTTGGAAGAGGGAAACGTGTAAAACTTGCAGGATTGCGGCCCTCGAGGACCGGAGTTCGAGACCCCTGCTCTACACCAACAACTGCACCTCCAAGCACCCAGCTGTCAAACTCTTGAAGTTTACAATCATCCGCCTGATCCAGGATGGTGACGAGTCTGCATATCGGCAGGAGGTTGAGCAGCTGGTGTTTTGGTGCAGCCAGAACAACCTGGAGCTGAACAAGCTCAAGACTGTGGAGATGAGAGTGGACTTCAGAAGACAGCCCTCGCCACTGCTCCCCCTCACCATCAGCAGCAGCCCTGTGTCAGCTGTAGAGGTCTTCAAGCTCCTGGGGACGACAATCACCCAGGACCTGAAGTGGGAGAAGAACATCCGCTGCATCCTCAAAAAGGCTCAGCAGAGGATGTACTTCCTGCGACAGCTGAGGAGACACGGTCATCGAAGTCATCGAAGCTGTCCTGTGCAGCTCCGTCACTGTGTGGTTTGGACAGAAACAGACTGCAGCACACAGTCAGAACAGCCAAGAAGATCATGGGAGCCCCCCTGCCCTCCATCCAGGACCTGTACTCCAGTAGAACCAGGAAGAGGGCAGGGAACATCATCACAGACCCCACTCATCCTGGTCAAGAACTGTCAAGAACAGAGTCCTGTAGACTAAAACCACCAGACACAAAAACAGTTTTAATCCCACTGCCATCACCCTACTGAAGAGCTGAGCCATTCCAAACCACAGTTGTTGTTGCACCACCATTTGCACAATGTACATATATTTATCTGCTCAGATGTGTAAATTCTTGTATATGTTTGTCTTATTGTCTTGTTTTATTTTTTTTATTATTATTGTTTATTGTATTTTACTTTTTATTCTTTTCTTTCTATAGTTACTTTATTTTATTTCTTTTTTTATTTTCCTATTTCTATTTTCCTGCAAATTCCCAGGGCAACACCAACAGCTGAAACCAAAGTCCTTGTATGTTGTGCACGTACTTGGCCATTAAAGCTGATTCTGATTCTGATTCTTCTGAAGGTCTTGCTAAAATTGATGGACATTTTAAGTGACCGGATCACATTGTTTGACATCCAGAGCTGTCTAAGACAGTTTCTTAGACAACAAATGATGGATTTGTGGACATTCAGGCCCTAACTGACCTGCAGTATCCAGTGACTAGCTGCTCGTTCTTGTCATTTTCTTGCCATTTGTGGCATCTAATGTCAATAAAACTGCAATTTAGGAAGAGTGTATGTACTGCTCACTATCTGAACATTGTCCTTTAGATCTACACTGGACCAGGCCATGGATTAACTATATGGTTGAGAATTCGTCACCAGTTTAGCAGCTCAAAAACTTTTAATCCACAGTCGGCTGAATTTACCGACTGCATGCTGCATTTGTATTTTAGTTCAACGTGAATGCACATTGATGCTTTATGACACAAAAATCTTTTTGTAGATGTATGTGACGGGTGCAATTGATGGATCAACAAATTCAAGACTGAAGAGTTTTTATTTGTTCATGCAGTGGGATGCAATGTGACTGTTTCTCAAGGTTGTGAAATAGCAATAAGACATTCTAAAGAGGACAGATCTTAAAAAGCAGTAGAACATATCCGAGAACATGCATGGTTTCCTTCAAAAATACAACATTTGTACTCCAGAGAGTGTTCTATTCTAAGGACTGTGAGACAAAATAGTAGTTATTCACTTCTTTCTTCATTTTTTTTTCTTTAAAGAGCCTATTCATCATATTTGTAGAGGTGTTTATCCAATTCAGTTTTGTTGTTTGTTTCATGTTTTTGGTGAATGGTTGTAGTAGTAGTAGTGTATTGTGAATGTAGAAGAATTTTAAATGAATTGTTAAAAACTCAAATTCTTTCTTCCTTTCTGTGTTTCTTTCATTTTTAAATCACCCTCCTTATTATAACCAGAGCGCTCCTTATCACCGCCCGCCTGAGCGTTCCCGGTGCTTTAGATGAGCGTCCACTGAACTGTGTCGTCAGAGTAGGCGGGCACAAACGTCCCGAACAGGCCAATCAGGAAGCGAGTTTGGCTGGATTGACACCTCGGTGGCGAAAAACTGCGGGCCAGCTGTCACGGCGCGCGAAAGATCAAATCTGCTCCCCGGTGCGGCTGAACAGGCGGGAGGACCGAGCACCGACCGGAGAAAACACCCGTACATGCGCTTCGAAACGCCGCAATAACACTCAAGTCCCGCTGAGGCTCACTTTGGCGGCTGCCCGCGGTCCGACGAAGCTTCGCGTCTGCCGGTTCATCCCCGCTGAAGGCGGTGAAGTCAGCGGACAGAGATGAGCCTGGTGGTCCCGCAACAACAGGTGAGCCAACGGTTGGAGTTCCCGGTAGCTCGTTCAGGTGTCTACCGGGAAATTTCCAGGCTGACATGTGTGTCTTTAATGGGTAGAAGTTATGAGGAAACACTGACAGAATTGAAAGTGCTCCAAATTATGAGCTATCTGCTAACTACACTTATTGTTAGCCGCTTAGTTAGCTAGCTAACGAGCTAGTTTAGCCTGCCGTGATGGATGGTGCTACTTGGCCTGGTGGCGTCGATTAACCACGTCAATGTGGCGTTTTAACTTCACCGATTCCTGCTAAAATCTCATATATGATTACGTTAAGATCTAGGGGACAGTTCACGGATCGTAATCACCTGTCTATGACCTTTCTCCGTGGATGAAAACGTGCCTTTAGCAAACCGCGGAGCCGGAGAGGAAGCCATGACGGAGCTCATTGTTTGGTTCGTTCTAAGGCGCCACCAAAGTCATTTAAGGTTCATTTGGCTGCACAGAGTCACACAATCCACTTTAAATGCTCCACGTTACCTTCTGCAAACGACTCACATTTTCCTGCATGTGTTCTGAAAAATACAGACACTTGCTTTAACTTTGATATCGTAGAAAAAGTGGTGCAGTGTTTTTGTTTTTTATTTTGCACAGTTGCAAATAAGAGTTTAACACCTGAAATCAATTTCTAGTACCACTAATTTTAATTAAAGTATGTTTATAGCACATACAGCTGCAAGAAGTAGAACCAAACTCTAAAATCTAGCAGTTTGTGCCTTTAGATGAAGGAAATAGTGGATATTGAACTTTNGGTGTCACATGTTTATGTTGGCTGCCCTTGTGGTCAGCTGTTTTTAATCAGGCGCAAAGAGAGTCTTCTTTAAAGCAGCATTTAAAGCTACAAACACTAAAACCAGGAGTTATAAAAAGAACCATCAGTCACAAAGAAATCAACCACCTTTGTGGTGTTTCGAGCTCAAAGTTTGGTTGAAAGGGGAAAAACATGGGACCTTTATGAGTTGGAATACGATATTATCAATAGGTGTAGTTTTATTGATTTGCTTGGTAAAACAAACAAAGGTTTTGTTGGACACATAACATTTAAACATATAAATACTTTTATACAAAGAAGCCACAGCAAGATGAACCCGGTTACGGTCAATGAACTTGTCCCCCGTTTGTTTATTCTACAGAATTTCTATATTATGATGTTTGCTGTGAAGTGGTTTAAATCTGGTCTTTTGTCCCCTCAGAGTTCAGGTAAACTCTCCGAGCCCTCCCTCTGCCTCCCCGTCGAGGACTCCCAGGACCTTTACGCCCCTCCGTCCCCCAGCGCCGATTCGGGTCCTCTGGGCGGAGCTGGTTCTGGTCCCGGTTTGGGAGGAGACTCTCAGGGCCGGTTCTCCCTGGAGGACGACACCCACTCCCAGCTGCTCGACGCCGACGGTTTCCTGAACGTGGGGCCGCGACCCGGAGCTCCCCGGTCCCACAAGAGGCAGCTGATCCTGGACAGCCTGGACGAGAACGCCATGGACGCCAACATGGGGGAGCTGCTGGGCTTGTGCTCGGGTGTGTTTGGGTCGGCGGAGGCCGGCAAAGGAGGAGGTGTGGGAGCTACGCAGGAGGACGAGCTGCTCGGGTTGTGTTCGGGAGCGTTTCCGCCGACTCAGGCTGAAGAGGACGAAGCAGAGAAGGTGAAAGAAGGACTGGATGAAGAGTCTGACAACACCATGGATCAGCTGCTGGGGCTCTGCTCAGGCAAATTCCCAAGTCCAGGTGAGAATGTGTTTGTGTTTTTAGGATAGAAATAAGTACAGGTGGCTAAAAGTAGGAGGTTAGATCATAAAATAATTGTCGAATATCCTTAGGAGGTCTGACTAAAGCTTAGGTAATTGTTTTGGGTCAAAATGTGGATTTTAGGGAGCATGGAGGAACACACAGGGCGAAGAAATCAGTGTTATGACTTTAAATAAAGGCGCCTGAGGCTTTAAAAGTGTTAGAATTTTAGATTAACTTGTTTTGACAAAGAAGGAGTGCTTGAGAAATTTGCTTTTTGTTCCACGTGCTGGATATACAGATAAACTGATAATCAGTTTATGACAAAGAAAACCTTTTTATAACATGAAGAGCTGGACACCACAAACTTCAACAGGTTTGTTTATAAAATGGATAAAATCAGCGGATGAGTTTTCTGCTAATCATCTGATGGTTGCAGATTTAAAGCCTGAGCTTCTGAAACCTCACAGTAACAGACAATCCATTCATTAATCTTAGTTTATTTTTAAGAACACTATCAAAGCCCTCTGAGTCCAGCTTGTTAAATCTGAATAGTTTCTGTTTGTGTTGTGTCTCTATGACGGTAAACTGAATATCTTTGGGTTGTGGTTGGTCGACTTTGGCTTTTAGAAACACAAATCTTCATTTTCAGCCGTTTAACAGACCAAACAGCTACGTTGATTAGCTGAGATAATGGAAAAATCCTGTCAAAATCCTGTAATTTGAGCTTCTTAAATGTAAATATTTTATGATTTTGTTGCTCCTGTATGAAGGTAAAACTACCAGATGGACAAAAAAATGTAAAATACCAGAAGGTCAGGTCATTGGTAATGCTTAAAAAAAACACGTTTCATTATAAAAGAATCATTAAAAATATTGGAAAATGCTAAAAGGAACCTGAAGGATTTATAGTTGAGATGACTTCCCTGTTACAATTAAAGTTGATGGTTTTAATTGGTGCATATTTGTGGTTTTAAGACCACATTTGAATAGTTTTCCTTCCACTTAACACAATACTTTTTCTCCTTTTGCTGCCAATTTCTAGGTTCTGCTCACACGGCTTCACCAGCACACGACAGGTACGATAAAAACATCTCAGACATCCTCTAGAATCTGGAAATTACTTCCTCATTTTGCCAACTTTTAGCACTTATCCTTCTGTAAAAGTTCATAACTTTATGAATCTTTACAAAACGGCTCCTTGTGTCCTTGTTTTCCTCGTTACCTCGAATCTGCTTTGATAAAAGGATTAATCAGTCCTGATTTCTCTCTCATATTGTCTCCATAAAGTAAAAAGAAGGAGGAGGAAGAGCAGCAGGAGGAAGAGGAAGAGGAGGAGGACTGTGAGTTCAGACTGCTGTCAGATGTAGAAAGTGAACAGGTAAATAAAATAAAATGTCTAATGTGACTCAGAGGCAACGTTTCCTGACATTTCTTTATCATACGGTGAAGAAAGCAACTGATGAGTGAATTGTGGATGTACAGGAGGACGATGATGGTGACGATGATGATGATGGAGGGGAAAGTGGTGATGAGCAGGAGGATGAAGGCGATGACGTGGAAGAGGAGGAGATGCAGGCTGTGTTCACATCCCATCGAGTCAAGAAGAAGAAGAAGAAAATGTACGCGAAGAATCAAATCTGAAGTTGTCGAATCATCACTTATTTGTATTCTTGTCATTTCTCTTTGCTTCTGTATTCGATGTTATAAACTGTAAGAACTCGTAAGTAAACATGATGTCCTGATAAATCACGCTGGAATTAGTTTGAATTCGTTTCCTGCGTCTCGTCTGCAGGCGTCTGACCGACTACGTGGACTCGGAGGCCGAGCTGTCGGGCAGCGACTTGGGCAGCGACGACGAGGACGCCGACAGAGGCAGCGAGTACGAAGAAGAAGATCTCCTGGAAGATCTCCCCTCCGACGAAGAGCTCCAGGACCAAGTCAACAAGATCCACATGTGAGTAGCAGCTGGTCGGGCAGAATTTCTGGGCTCGACTGTAAGATCGCAGATACAGAAGATTATTCTAGTTTTTCTGCAAGTGAAGAAACAAATGTTAAAGTTTTCACGTGTTGTTGTTGTTAAAGGAAGCAGATCATGGACGATGACAAGCGCCGCCTGAGGCTGTACCAGGAGCGCTACCTGGCCGATGGAGACCTGCACTCCGACGGCCCGGGACGAGCTCGACGCTTCCGCTGGAAAAACATCGGTGAGTTAACAGCACGAAGGAATAAATGCAGTGAAATAAAGAAATACAGGTAATGAATTTAGAGCATCTGAGGAAGTCACTGTTATTTATAGAGCACGTTTAAAACAACTGTGAGCCACAGTGCTTGTAAAAACGAACGTCTTGTGTTAAAAAATCTGTCCGAAAAATGCATTAAAATGCTTAAATACAGCAACGTTTAAAACCAGTGACATTAACAGCAAGTATCTGAAATATGTTTTAGCTGATTTAGATACAATAAAAACAGGCTAATTTTACAGTCAGATGTTATCAAAAAACAAATTAGCATTTTTAAAAAATTTATTTTTTTAAATGTGAAAATTGCCAGATTTGTCCGGTTGTTTTTTTTTTTATTTTATTTTTTTTATGGTTAACTAGTAAATTAATTCTGTTTTTCTGTAATCTTTTGAATTTTTTTATTTTTATTTTTTTACTAGATATTATCTGCAATTTAACAAAACAGGTGAAAGTTGGTACAATAATCGTGAAATGTTGAAAAAAAAAATACAGTAAATAACTATTCTTTTTTTCTTCTACAGTGTAAGATTAGCATTAAAAATTAATCTAGCAAGTTTAAATATTAACGTTCAGACCCTGTGAGGAATCAGATCTCGTAGATCAGGATCAGAGCTGATTATGATTTTTTTTTAAATTGATTATTATCTGCTTAAATGAATAAACACCCGTATTAAATTTGAAGATTATCTGTATTTGTGCTGCACCTCATCCAGGTAAAAGGAAGTTTTATCCACATGGAAGCAACCACAGTTTGGTTAAAAATAAATCTGGTTTAGATGATAAAATAAGAGCAGAACTTCTCAGGAGGTCCAGCATTTAGATGCAAAATATTAAACTCTAAATGTAAACACAGGTATGAGCAGTGATTTATATCTGTTTGCTGCAGGTTTTACTAACATCTAGCTGCACGTTGTCTGAATCAAACACAGTTGTTTATCCCTGTTAGAGCAGCATAATGCACAGCAGAAAGAAAAACAGTAAATCAGAAAATGAAAATGCAGATAAATGCTTTGATAAACGACTCGTAGGTGTTTTACAGAAGCAGAGGTCTGAACGTGAGGATGTCTGAATTCAGCTGATTGTAGAAACTTTGCCAACGTGTCTTCAAGTGTCGTTTTTTTTTCACTGTTTATTTCAACCTGTGGTTCAGACGACGGATTCAACATGGACCGGATGGGAGCAGAGGGAGAGGAAGAGGGGGAGGAGGACGATGATGTGGACCAGACGGAGGTCCAGAGGAGGAAGGAGAGGCTGGAGAGGGAGCAGTGGCTCAGAGAGCAGGTAGGCTGACAATCAGAGGCAGACGTTTAACTTTGATGACTTCAGTCCTGCTGTTAGTAAATCCAGTGCAGGTTCAGAGGATGTTTCTGTCTTCTCTTATTCCATCTTCATTCTTCTCACAGTCCGAACAAAAAGCCAAGAAAGGAGAAGATGTGGACGCAGATGATGAGAAGATCGGAGACGAAGACAGTCACTTCATGAAGCTGGCCAAGAAGCTGACGGCCAAAACTCTGCAGAGGAAAGGTTGGTATGGTCTGACACGAGGAGAGGAGCTTCATCCAGCGTCGCTTACAGGAAACAAACTGCAAACGAACAGACGAAAGTAAAATAGTCGTTTAATAGAATAATAACAGAACTTCCTCGGGTGGTTTGTATGAAATTCAGGAGCATTTTAAGAGCAAAGGAAAAATGTTTTGTGTCTAAATTTGGATGCAAGAACAACCAGAGGAGGTTTGTTTTTTTTGTTTTTTTTTAGGAAGGATGGAGAACATAGAGGGTTAAAAATTTAATTATGACTTAAATCAGGAGCTCTGAGGCTGAAAGATTTGGTAAAAGTTTAGATTAACTCAAGTCAAATTAAAAGCAGGATTGTTGCAGGATTTTGTTTTTAGCTTTTGATGAAATTTTATTAAATTATAACAAAGAAAACTCTTTAAAAAGCAAAAAAAAATTAATATCATTGAATGTGGTGTTTACAATAAAGAAAAATGATAAACCGGTGACAGAGTTTCATCAAATTTTAAATAGTCTTATCTTAGAGAAGTCCCTGAAAACCAGGTGGTTTGATCTCTAAGCTGGGAATAGAGCCGATACCAGAACTTTAGTGACGAGTCCGGTACTCGTGGACAATTAAATTAATCACAGACTATTTCTACAAATAATTAATTGGTTTGAATATTTTTTAAGCAAAATAAAAAAGTGAATTTTCTTATTCCAGCTTCTTAAGTGTGATTATTTTCTGTTTTGTTGCTACTTCATGCAGTAAACTGAATATTTTTGGGTCAAACTGGACATTTGAGGGTTTTTCCCCACAGATAGTCCAAAACTAAAAGATGTTCAACCAAAAACATTAAATTCTCAGATATGAGGAGCTGGACGCCACAAATTTAAACAGTTTTTTGCTCCAAAAATGACTGAAACCATCAAAAGCAGCTGATGGTCTAATTGAATATGAACTCTGAGCTTCTGTCACCTGATGAGTCGGTTCAGGACAGAAGAAAAACCTACAAACCCTCCTTAACCTGGAACATGTTCTGTTTTTGTTGCTCCTCTGTGACAGTAAACTGAATGTCTTTGGTTTGTGGGCAAAACAGCAGCTTTCTCTGACATTTTAGAGACCGAACAACTAATGGACGCCTGAAACGAGCATCAGCTGCAGCTTCAGTCGACAGATTGACCCGACGAGCTGCAGATTTAGAAAAACGGTGACGTGATGCGTCCCAGAAAATTAAACCGAACCAGACACGGAGGAGAAGCTGCTGCCAGCGATCTGGTTGCTAAATGTTCCTGCTCGTGTCCTGACAGTTTTTGTTGTTCCCAGAAAACCAGATGAATAAAACAGCATCTGCTGGATCAAAAGCATGTTTGAACTCTAATCCAGCAGCTTTTGAAGCACATTTGACTGTTTTCTGTGCACGAATCGAGAAAAAACACTTAATTTATGACGTTTTTTACCAATAAATGCTGCCGTGTTTTACAAATCGGTGTATGAATGGCGACGTGATGCTTCTGGAGACTGTTTTATTGACCTCACGGCTCTGTTGTTTGAAGCAGAACCCCCCGTGGCGCCGCAGCCGGAGAAGAAGACGACGGCATCGGCTCTGAATCCCTTCCAGAGACCCTCCCAGCCTTCACAGGTGAGTCGCAGCCGGCCTTTAACTCTTCTTTGTGTCGTTCTCATCACACTTACGCGACGACGTGTGAAGAGTTCCTCATCTCACCGGCCTCCTGAATCCACTCCACAGCCACATCTGGTGGGTCTTTGAGGTGGGGAGGCGCATCTTGTGTAACTGTTAGCATCTGACTCTTTAAAAAATAGCTGCAACACTCGTCAGATAGCGCCTGCAGCTTTTATTCTGAGACAGTACACCGCTGTTCCCAGGACAACGGATTGATAAAGCTGCATTTAGAGTCCAGACTTCCTTCTATGGAGCCATATCGACACCATTCATATGCTAGAAGGTTCATTAACTTGATGGGAAGTGTTCACATTCTTCCTGAATGCTGGCGATTGGCCTTAAATACTTCTCCAACGTTGATTCCAAATATCTGAACTTTCTGTGTGACCGGCTCCTTCCAGGTGAGGAGAGGTTCCCTCCTCAGTCAGCCTCAGTCCGTCCTCCAGAAGCTCGCCTCCATCTCAGAGGGAAACCCTCTGGCGCCCAGAAACACTCGAGGATTCCTGTTTCAGACACTTTCACCTGAGAAGGCCACGTTGGACGCTCCTCAGAAACCGGTGAGTGAAGTCTGACCTCCTCAGAACACAGAGGAGGGTCCAGATTGATCACCTTAATGGACTTTTTCCATCATTTCTGAGCCTCAGAACTTCATCAGTACAGCAGATAGACACATGACATTTAGGAGGAGGAACACATCTGGGTTCTGCTAGAGCAGGGGTGTCGACATCCGGTCCTCGAGGGCCGCAATCCTGCATGTTTTAGATGTGTCCTTCTTCCAACACACCTGATTCAAATGATCAGGATCGTTATCAGGCTTCTGCAGAGCTTGATGATGAGCTGATCATTTGAATCAGGTGTGTTGGAAGAAGGACACATCTAAAACATGCAGGATTGCGGCCCTCGAGGACCGCAGTTCGACACCCCTGTGCTAGAACCTGACACCAGATCAGTTCTACATCCATCCAGGTGTCTCGGTCTGAACACTGGACCTGGTTCTGTTCATGTCCTCTGTCAGCAGCTGGTAGCATCAGTATTATGGGATGTGTCATAGTGGAACCAGTCAGACTGCAGCAAGTTAATGTCTAATGACCAATATAACTCAAAAACTGTCCAAATTTAATCCAGACCTGTTTTAAACAAGTTCAGACTTTCCAGGCTCATATCAGCATGTGTGATGGTGGTTGGTCAGAACCAGTTCTACACAATGAAAGGTCCATTTCACCTCCAGAACCCACCAGAACCATCTGTAGACAGGATTCACTCTGTGTAAAAGCTTGTTCCGGGTGTCTATCTCCTGTATTTATGAGGCTCAAAAATGCTGCACAAAATAACCTGAATTAAAGAGAACAACATTTCTACCCTCTATGGACTTGACGGACGTGTCGCTCTTGAACTGGTCACAGCCTGAAGGCAGAACTCTGCTTCATTAAATAAAGTTATTGTAGGTAAAGAATCAGCTGATTCTGAGGAGGTCGGAGGGGCAGTAAGTTTTATTTGTGATGTTGCTTCTATTGAACCCAAATGTCCAGATCAGAGATAGCAGATGGTAAAATGTGTCATAAAGAAAGAATTGTGCCTCTTGCTCATTTCATCCAGACAGGAAGGAACAAGCTTGTAAACATCACATCACTTTATCTTCCTTCTTTTTTCTTTTCTAGTGGAAAAGAAATGAAAAATGACCATAAAGCCTCGATTCCATCTTTAAAAAGTCTCAGAATACTAATTTACAGCCCTAATTATCTCCAAAAAAATGACCGTTAAGTCCTTAAATCATCTTTTAAAGCAGCTCCAGGCGGAGGCTCATGTGATTTATGTTTTTTTTTTTGTGTGTGTGTCATAAAATCTTGTAAACACGGAGACGCAAGATTTCGTCACGCGACTTTCTGCTGATGTTCACGAGACTTCAGTGACTCCAGCAGGATGGAGGAGGCGATCAACGGAGCCTTGTTCACAGAAAACGGAGCAGAAAGTCCACGTTTTCCTGTTTTCTTTAGTTTTTTTTTTTTCTTTTTTTTTTGGCTCAAACTTTGTGTTAGAATGTAGGTCCACAGGATGTTTGTTATTTAGCCGTGGGAGAAAAAAAAATCTCCACCAAGAGAAGATGTTGCTGCTTCCACAGCTTTGGTGTTAAACTAAATTAGCAGAAGGTCTTCTAAAATCTGGAGTTAGTGTGTTTCAATGAGACAGGATTCCAGTGAATGTGCGTTTTATGGAGTTAGTTGTTCTAAATCTTAAACATCCTTCAACCTGCAGAGACCCTTTGATTTGAATGAAGCATCTTTCGCTCGGTTAAACAGTAAACTGTGACCGTGGCTTTGATTTCCAAACCTTGTCGGTCTGGCAACGTGTCAGTGTTTCTAAAATAAGCACAGAAAGGAAGATGTTTTCCAAAGAGCTGCTCAGTGTGACAGTCATGTGAACCCACCGGCGGTTTCTGGCTTGTTCTGGATATGTGCCACTAGATGGAGCCAAAGTCCACACGGCTCACGCTCAGCTGGAGGATTTGTAGATTTACGAGGTCACGGTGGGAGCAAAACGACATTTATTTAGCTTCTAGGGTCGTATGTGACACTTCAGTTCATTCATTCATGTTCGTGTTGTGACCTTTGCCTTCGTTTCCTCCTCAGACGATGAAGAAGAGGGGGCAGGTGGAGGCGGCCAATCCAGCAGCAAAGAGGATCTGCAGAGAAAACAAACCAGCGGCGCCGACGAAAGCTTCCCAGAGGAGCATCTTCAGCTTCCTGGATCACTGACGGCGAGAGGGGACAGAGTTCCTCCTCCAGCTGCAGGACTTCACCTCCAGTAAGACTCAGACACTGGTGCACTGGTGGCCGATCACACACAGGAACGGGTTTCCAGGTTTGCTTTCCCTCAAAACTGCAACCTGAAGCTCCACCGAAGCACAGTTCCATGTTTTCCTGCTCGCTGTTCACTAACTCAGCCGGTGTCTGAACTATAAATCCGTTGTTGTCTTTCTTACTTAACTTGTGCAGCTCGATGAAGGGCGGATTTAAAAATCTTTTATCATGTAAATAGGATTGATTTCATTCTCAATAGTTAGTTGTTTTTCTGTTTGTTTTTTTTTGTGTATGATGTTTAAAATGTTTTACTTTGTAAATAAAAGCGTATTTTAAGACTCTGCTATGATGGTTTTCCTGTTGGACTCAGATTCAGTCCTCAGAAAGAGAAACTAGTGCTACAAAGGAAGTGCAGATTTATTTTGAGTTTCCGTCTATACGCTATAAATAAATTTAATTTAAAGCCGCTACAGATCATTTCACGTGCCGTTCGGTGCAGCCGGCTGATTGTACAAGAGTTGTGCTCAGCAGGATGGATCTCTTTTTTTTTTTTTTTAACTTTTCTTAATTTGAAAACGATCTCAGATGTTTACAGAGAAAATCTGTCTTTTGAAGAACTCAAAGTGTCTGAAATGTCTTTGACAAGGTTCCTGAATTAGAGGCTGCTGAGAAACGCGGCAAAGAAACAGGAAAACGCTGGTTTAGAAGTGAAAGAAGAAGCGGTTTAGTCATTACAACCGTCAGCATCCAAAACTTGTTGAAAATAATTAAGTTTTAAGCTTCAGAGCAAATCAAAACAATCATTTTAAAGATGCCAAATATGTCAGTGAAGGTTTTCAGACAAATGACCTCTTTGCACATCTTTTTTGTGAGCTGCATGTATAGACGAAGGATCAGCGTCTATAAACGTTTACAGCAGAATCCTGCACAGTTTCTAACTCACACAAACTAACTGACCAACGATGCTTCGGTGCTGGACCCAGAATTGGCCTGATGAACGTTTAGCACCGACGTGTTTCTCATAAATGTGTTTTTGCAGCTTGAACGTTGTTCAGGAGTCGTTTGGAACTTTTCATCCTGACGCACAAACTTGAGCAGCTACGTCTCATGTGTGAATTCAAACAGTAGACAGTTAAAAAAAAAAAAAAAAAAAACGGTAAATAAATGTAAAATATTAGCTGGTTTAAATACAGTAAAACTGTAAATTTACAGTTACAGGTAATATCTTGTAAAATCACATTTAGAAAAAATGTGAATTTACATGTTGACTGTAAAAAACAGATCAAACTTCTAAACAGCATCCACATCAAAAATCTATTTTTACAGATGTTCATTTTTACAGTTTTTTACTGTAAATCCAGCCATTTTAACTCAATTTAAATCAGCCACAAATATTATTTTACACCTATTTACTGTTTAAAATTCTACATGAAGGATAGAAAAATGCTAAATCGCTGAACTCATTTTACATAGTTTTCATGTTTTGTTTAATTTCTGATAATATGAAGTAAAATCTGTTAAATGTTTTGTTTTTTGTTTTTTTTTTAAAATAAGATTTGACAATTATTAATTTGTGCTTTAGCATCATTTGAGCGTTCTGGATTAAATCTGAGAAGACAACATCCCTGTAAATAAATGCACACCAGGTTTTCCCTGAACCAGCCTCCACCTGAGCGTCTCTGACACCTCGGCTCTCACTTTGACTTCTTCTTTTACTTTTCTGCTCCTGTTTTAAAACATAATTGCAGTTTAGAGACTAATGATTTGGTAAGTGGCTAATAATAGGCCGGCGTTAACGGGCCGGTCCACTAACGAGCCCTTTCATGTCTCTCCATCTCATTAGCGGCCGTGGTGATTAGCGGGGTCCCGGGGTGAAGCGCTTCATTAGGGGCTGGCGCCACCAGGCTCCAAACTGAACCCCATGTTGGGCTGCGAGCCGCCGGGCCCGCGGGCCGCCTCGTCCCCGAGACTCACATTCCACTTTTTACCTTCGTCTGAATCCCCCAAAAGCCACGACTGTGAAATCTTAGAGCCACGAGGCGCTGAGCGGCAAAGTAATCTGATGGGTTCTGACTTTGAGCTGCATCCATCATCATTTTTGAGCCATTTAATACGCAATTAATCGAGATGAAGACTGGAGTCCGAGTCCCGCGGCTCCGTTTGCAGGGTCAGGAAATCAATTCTAATTAGAATTTAATAGGAATAATGTGGAGTTTCTCTGCATCAACACCAAACTGAATTTCACAACTTTATCCGACCCCCGAGAGGGAATTAGGAGGTCAGAGCAGTAAAGCTGAACTCTGCGTTCACTTGAAAGAGGAGGAAGGTTACACGTTTTGGCACCGAGGCCCCGGTTCTAAATATCTAGAGGCCACGGATCCGGCTTTATTCAGACTGTGAGGCTCTGAGAGGGCAGAGGGTGGAATAATTGAGGAGAAACACGAGCCGCAGCACCCACGGGTGACGTCTGCAACCGCATGTGTCCGCTCACATCTGCACCTACAACCAGAGCGCGTAATTAGTGTGCAAAGTGACCCCTGCGCCAGATCAGAGCTGCAGTTTAGCACGTCTTGGCCGGTTTGCGAAGCCGGGGGTCCGCGAGGAGCTTCTCTCTGCAGACAGCGAAGGCCCGAAGGTGCCGTCAGCGCCGAGCCGAGCTGAGGGAAGTGGGTCACGGCGCTGCGGGCTGTGTGCGATTCCAACGAGGCCTTATTATGCGCAAGGTAAGTCGTGCTGCTTTTATTTTCTGTTGTTAACATTACAATCGGCCGGCTCCCCCCCCCGGGAGGCCCGAAAAATCGAGCGGTGCCTCGGCCTATCGCTGCCTCCATCGGCCTCCTCTCCAGCTCTGGCTCTTCCTCTTTTCTTTTTCGCAGCGAGATGGAAGCAGAGATGATTTTGCGTGTGACGAGGCCTCCGGCGGCCGGCTGTGTTTGATGTATTTTTTATGTGTTCAGGCTACAAGTGATGAGCGATGGGGAGGAGGAGGGTGAGCAGGGAGGGGAGGAGGGGAGGACGCCTGGAGCCGATGCACTTGAATGGGGATGTTGTTGAAGGAGAAAAGAGAGAGAGTGTGTGTGTGTGTGTGTGTGTGTGTGTTTTCCTGCCGGCAGCAACAACATGTCAGGGGGATGAGAGCAGGGAGGAGAGGCGGCGAACACTTGTTAAGTCTGTCTGATGTAGCCTCTCTGTGCCACACACACACACACACACACACACACACACCTCTAGAAAACACACTCACATGCACAAACACACACACACACACACACGACTGCCATGTCCTTCTGATCTGAGACTGACAATCACACGACGAGCAGCCAGTTTGCAGGAGAAAAAAAAAAAGCAACAAATCCTGCAGAGAGGGTTGGGAGGTGTGACGCTACCTGTCACTGTTGCATTCTGGGTAGTATTTGAACCTAAAAACCACAGAAAAGCCACCCACTGACTGTATTATCAACTGGATGACGAGGGTGTGAGTGCCTCCGTTTCCCAGAATGCTTTTTTTGTTTTCAAATTTGAGGCTGCGAACATCATCTGGACGAGTTTCATCGACGTAATTATGTTGCATCAACTTAATGTTTTGGTTAATTTAAACTCAAATTTCTGCGTTAGTTGATGTAAAGCTAAATTTAAGTTGCAAGAATTACACACACGACTGCCACCTCCTTCTGATAGGAGACTGACCATCACAGAAACGGTTTGCAGGAAGAAAAAAAGAAAAGCAACAAATCCTGCAGTCGTCCTCCTCTGAGGGTTGGGAGGTGGGATGCTAACTGTCACTGTTGCATTCTGGGTAATGTTCTGGAGGCACACCTTACAATGAAGGACAGACCACCCACTGACGGTGTGAGTGCCTCCGTTTCCCAGAATGCCTTTTTTCTTTTCACATGACGTTGCGAACATCATCCTGACGGGTTTTGTTGACAGAACAATAACGTTGCGTCGACTTGATAGCAGCCAGTTTGCAGGAATAAGCAACAAATCCTGCAGGTGTGACGCTACCTGTCACTGTTGCATTCTGGGTAATGTTGTGGATGCACACCTGACAATGAAGGAAAGACCACCCACTGACGGTGTGATTGCCTCCGTTTCCCAGAATGCTTTTTTGTTTTCAGATGGGAAGCTGCAAACATCTTGACGAGTTTTTTCGGTGTAATTATGTTGCATCAACTTAATATTGGGTTTAATTTTAACTCACATTTCTGTTGTAGTAAATTAATTACATTAGTTCGATTAACTGATTTTTCTCTACCTTGACTTCGGTGTTTCAAGGTTTTAAAAACGTTAAAATTTGTGTTTGTGGTGCAAATGATTAAGCACTTTAAATGCTATTGATTGAAAAGCTAGTTCCCCAAACTTAGTGTAGTTGTCCTAGCTTAGCTTAGCTTAACTTATCGTAATTTATGTTATCTCAACTTAGCTTAGCCTAACATAACCTCTGTCTTAACCTAACTTAGCTTAGCGACTTAACACTACCTTTACCATCCTATCCTAGCTTAGCTTAGCTTAACTTATCGTAACCTATCTTTTCATAGCTTGTCTTAGCTTAGCTTAACTTAACATGATGTATCATCTTATGTTAATTTATCTTAGCCTGACTTAACGCAACTTATGCTTTCTAAACCTATCTGATCCCAACTTGTTTTGTTTTGTCTTTATCATATCCTAACCTAGCTCAGCTTGTCTTAGCTTAGCTTAATATGACGTGTTATCTTATTTTAATTTATCTTAGTTTAGCTTGAGTTAATGCAATTTGTTGTCTTATCCCAACTTGTTTTGTCTTGCCTTATCTTTATCCTAACCTAGCCTAGCCTAGCTTCACTTAACATGAGGCGTTATCTTAGCTAATGTTATTTTAACTTTGCTTAGTTTAAGTTAACACAACTTATGTTATCATATCTTATCCCAACTTGTCTTGCCTTATCTTTATAGTATCCTAGCCTAGCTTAGCATAGGTTAGTTTAACCTGAAGTATGTTATGCCATTTTAGCTTATCTTAGCTTGACCTAACCTAGCGTAGCTTAGCTTCACTTATCTTAACATAGCTTAGCGTAGCTTCATTTATCTTAACGTAGCTTAGCTTAGCATAACTTTCCTTGTTGCTTGATCTGATCTGACTTTATTTGACTGTGAAAAATGGAAAGTAAAAGAAAATCAGAGCTAAACTTGAGCACAGCTCTTGAGTAAATGTTATTTTCCAAACACTGGTCTCAGTCTCATAAAGTTTTATCAGCTCACAGTTTGTCTCATGATGAAAATCTCGGTTATTTCTTCTCTGAAAAGCCCTTTTACAGGCTAACAGACGTCCTTCTGTGGTTTCGGCTGAACAAAGATCCGT